GCATGATTACTAAATCATCAACCACCACTTTATGTAGAAATTTACGTCATCGTTCTTACTGTCAGTGAGGCATGCACAAGAGAGCTGTTGACAAGGCAAGGTGTGATTTTCGTCATCGATGTCGCTATACCAATGATCATGTTGGAAAAAAACTAATTTTTTGCAGCATCACAGACAGAAAATTATCAAAAACGAAAGTGGGAGAAAAGTCAATCAATCAATTAGTCGCACATTCAGTCAAGCAAGCAAATTACATACGTCCAAACGAACAACAAAAACTGCTGGATTGAAGGCTAACGTTAATTAAAGATTCAATGGGTCTGTCCGAAAACAGTGGACAAGAAAATGTATGTTAATCAAATCACTTGACGATCAGCCGGTCAAGGAGGTCGTTGAACTATCTTAAGGTTGTAAGCTCCGTTTACTGCATGAATATCGTCGTAATTACAGCGTACAAGACTTACAACGAACAAAAAATATCCGTATCCAAAGAGAATATACAATCAACAGTTTTGGGTAATGAATAACATTACCAACGAATAACACTCGATGACCAACCCATTTCCGTACAAGCGACAGAACCTGTCGACATGAAATCGACCACGCCCAACAAACGGAAAATATATGTATACATTAGTTTTGAATGGAATATCAAGGGTAAAAAAACAACTTCCTTCCATAAATCGAAGGGCATAAAACGGCACAGCTAAAAATGAATATAACAGCAAAGCATGAGGTAAATAAATAACGAAAGGCAAATTACTACAACTTAATTCAAGTGAAATACTATAATCGGCAGTTGAAGCAAAGTAGGTACTTTTCGCAACGCAACGGCAACGTCGCACGAATGCCAAAACGTCGTTTTCGATTAATCGAAAGCCGGCTACCGAAATGAAGCAAAGAAAAACCTATCCAATCTGGTATTCAAATACGACTTATCCCACCTCCTATGTCATGGTTGATCGAATACGCGCATACCTAAGATAGTCAGCACGTTCGTTCATGCAGCTGCATGCTGATCGCGTTGACGACCAGCGAATCTGAGATGATTCACGAAACTGATGATGGACGTTAATGGCTCGGCAAATGCTGTGGTGTCACATGTGCTGAAACTGTTGCAGCGAAATGCTTGGAGCCTGTCTTGTAGACTCAGTGATTAAAAATT